ATAACTCACATGACCCATCTGAGGCCCAATATAAACAATTACCGCACCGGGTTCATTTATAAGTAAACATTGACCACACCGGTTCCAATTATCCATATTTATAGCAAAACATGCAAGGTTACTTTAACATTAGTGCATATATGTAATAGTTATCATTTAAATCCACCAAGGTCTAATAAGCCTCAATATACCTCAATTAGTGTCCATTTGTATCCTTGGAACTAGAGAAATCCAAGTCCATTGGTGTTCTTTAAATCAAAGAAATCCAAGCCTGGAAGCTTAGTGCATAGTTTGAAAAATTTCGGTTTTAGAGTCACCGTTCGAACAGCACTATTCACATTCGAACGTCCCTTGGTTTTGAAAAATAGGTAGCTCCCAGTACATTTGGTTCTCTGCTGGTTTTGCTGTTCAAAACTCGCACCATTCGAACGTCACTTTACGTTCGAACAGAAAATGCAGTTTCTGTTCTGCTGCAACTTCCAGTGCGGTTTTGACCTGTTTAGAAGTGGAATTGAGAAAATTTCATAAAAACACTTTTGTAGCCCTAGGTGTCTACTACCTACTGTAAAAATTTCAGATCATTTGGACGTCACAATAAAAAGTTATGGCTCAAACACTAAGCAGTGTCTGAAATTTCTGTGTAAACTGTGTATGATTTCAACCCCAAATCAATCCATTCCAAAACCAACCCAAACCAATCCAAGGTTATCCAAAACTTATACAACATCTATTTGATACCAAATATAGTCAATACAAGTTCTAATACAACTATTTCCATACTTTTACATGCCAAAATGGAAATTAACCAAAAGTTTTACAAAAACTAAATTCAAAAGCCACAACCCGGCTTTTCTTCAACCAAGAGCCCCCGAATGAGAGCCATCCACCGGAACGTGTCCCGTACCTGAAATTGTTTCCCGTATAGGGTGAGCACAACGCCCAATAGAGATAAACCTATAGAGGTTACTCTTCCCCTAGATGCACATGCTCATGTAATCATCACACAAACATACAACCAAGCATTTCTCACACTTATGCATCCTATGATGGAATGCAACAATGCTATGCCATGGAATGAAGTGACACTCACCCATGCAACTTTATTCCGAGCTCTCTCCGGCTCCCCAACACATGCAAGTGTCAATTTAGTCGAAACCACCATTTATGTTACACACAATGGCGTTAATCACTCTAGGGTCTTGTATAGGGGTGGATGTTCATGGACTTACACCAAGGGCCTCCAACCCACACGAAATTTACGGACTTCGACCGAGGGTTCCGAATACACCCACACACTTTATGGGCCGAGCCAAGGGAGTGCGTAGCCCAATCACCGGGTCTTGCACCCGAGAGGTCGTCATGCCTCTTCTTGCTACCCCAACCCAATTCATCATGCAACCAAGCGGCTTAGCTAAGTCCTCGACCCAACTCTCCCAAGCCTTCCGTCAATCACCAAGTGTGGTATTGACGTCAAACATGCACTCACTCATGTAATGAGACACTTCCGTGCAAATGCAATGTGATGTTCCATTGCACACAAAATAATGCTCAATATGCTTATGACAAACATATAAACATTTTCATACATCAATGCAATTGTATCATAAGTATATAACTACCATATCTCATTATGCTCAATATATCATTTCATGCATATGTCAATAACACTCTTCATCCAAAAACCATATCCTAAGCATATGATTTCACAATCACCCAAGCATGTTATAACATAGCATCATGCAAGTAACACACTCAATTTCACTAGGGCATTTTATCAAACATCTTATAGTCATTCAAGTCATGTATTCACATAACACATTCCAAGGCATAGTTTATAAAACACATAGCATGCCTTAAGTTTTCACCAAGTTACAAAATAATCACATGGAACCTCCATATACCAAATTCAAGCTAGAAGCTAGCCTAAGCTATTCCTATGCTATTTTTTTTCACTTTCATACCCATAGACATATATGTATAACAATACATATGCATATACATAATTTTCACCCTTAGTCTAGCAACACCTAAGGTAAGAATAATCCAAAGTAGGAATAACCCCTACCTCTTAGGAGTGTAGAAAACCCCTAAAACACCAAAACCAACCCAAAAGCTTTGATCTCCAAAAATTCTTCCTTTGATTATTCGGTGAAATCACTTCCTTTTGGTACGTAGACGTAGCCCTTGACGAGGAGAACGATCTTTGTTCTTGGTCCAAGCGGATTTGAGCACTAGAATTATGTAGATCATAGAGAGAAGTTGAAGCTTTCCCTCTCCTTTCCCTCTCTTTTCTATCGGCTGAAGAGGATGCTGAACAATGGGGGAAAAATCTGATTTTTCCCCCTATTTATACTTTAGAACACTTGGCCCACAATTGGCCACATGTCCATTTTTAATTCCGGGTCCGTTTTTGTCCCGAACAATTAAATCTCGCCCCGGTTTAAATCTAAAATATTTTTATTTCAATTTATCTTATTTTATTGCCCAAAATTTAAAATTTTATAAAAAAATTCGTGTACAGGGTCACCCGAAGCCCGATCGCTCCGTAAAACGTGAAAAATTTGACTATCTCAGAATTCGACGAAAATTGACGTGGTAACTCGATTTCGCGAGACGAATCCAACGGTGAGGTCCGTTTTGTCATCCGAGTTACAAAAAATTTCAGATTTACAACCCGAATCATGGTGACAATTACCATTTTACCCTTTATTCATAAAAGTTTAAATCTACCGGGATTTTACACACTTGGCCGGGACTAAGACAACAGAGAATGCTAGCAATCCCTCCTAGAAATCCAGCCAATCTCCTGAGGGCTAGGAGGAGGCGACTCCAACTTGCCAGGAAAGTCTTGGCCCACCTATAGGATACCAAACACTAAAGAGCTATAGCAGGTACAAGCCAGTGGCTTTCATTTTATCTGTCCTTTATTGTTTTAGTCGATTTATTATGTTATTTATAATTTTATGAAATAAAACTCTGCAAAGATTATTATGTCAAGAACTGTCTTGATTTCATTTCATAAAGTTTGTAAACAGCTTATAAAAGTCAGAACATGACCTAACAACAAGGTAAACAAAAAAACAAAAGTCGTCTTACTCTCGAATATCACTCATGGTTCCCCTAGCCACTATCATCAAGGCTCTCTCTATCACCATCTATCCCTGGTGCCTCATATGGAAAGAAGCCAAAGAAACCAACAAGCAGGGAAATTTGTCAAGCTCTTTAGAACCATTAATAAAGGTGCTTACAATGGCCCTCTTAGCAACCTCCCTCCTCATCTCCATCTCAATGGAATGAACCTTTATCACAGCAGACCCGAGCTATACATAGCTCGACCTCTAACTTTGCGACCCTCTCACGGGACGATCACAGCTCTGACTCTACTCTCACGCAAGTAGTCTCCTTATAAGCCTCTGTCATGATAGCTCTCTCCCGAGCTATACATAGCTCGACCTCCAGCTTGGCGACCCTCTCATGTGACGTCCACAACTCTGACTTTGCTATCGCACAAGTAGTCTCCTTATAAGCCTCTACCACAACTGTCCTCTCCTAAGCTATACGTAGCTTGGCCTCTAGCTTTGCAACCCTCTCATGGGACGTTCGCAGCCCTGACTCTACTCTCACACAGACAGTCTCTTGATCAGCTTCTCGTTTCCCAGCCCTCTCGTGGGATGCCAAAAAGCTCGATTTAAAGAGGCATGAATATTTTATGAGCAAGCCTCAACTGCTTCTAGTAGTCCCTCAAAGCCCGCCTCTCTTTTGCCAATCCCTGGATGCCTCTCCAAGTTCAATCATTCTTGAAAAGAGTCAGGGAAAGGCAATAGTCACCTATAAGAATCAGAAAAAAGAACATGATTCTGGAAAAGAGGCAGGGAAAAGCAGCAGTCACCCTACAAGAATCCAAAAGCATAACATGAAGAAAAGAAGGCTGGAACAAAATCAAAGTTGAGAACAAAGACATGGAAAACCCCCTCCATTGCGGTATTGATAATGCCCTCTAGATCTCGAGATCCAACCTCTTCAATATCCCCAGGAGTCACAAACCTCCAAAGTCGCTCATTGGCCGAAGTTATATCGAAGCATAAACACCGAGCCACTATTAGAAACAGGGTAGCTATGTGGAGCTATGGTCCCCGTAGAAGACCGTACTAGAGTCTTAACTCCTACAGCAGTACAAAGGCTAGCTCTGGTACATACAAAAGCCCCAGTCTGGGAAGAAATGGGGGCGCCACCGGATCCTGCTCCCGGGAAGCAACTTGGCAATTGAACTTTGGCCAAAAATCACTAGGGGCATCAAAACTCGACCTCTTAAGAATAAGGGATGATGCTACCCTAGAAGCATAGAGAACCTCCAACTCTATCATCACTCTATCAACAGGGTCGCCTGTAATCAAAGACAAGGTCAAGAACCAGCATAGCCAAAAGTAATCATAGTCTCCTTCTCTAGAAAAAACCTAGAATGCCAACCCATCGCCTATGAATGCCTGACAGCTACCTGCTAGAACAAAGCTTCCCACCACCATCGATTTCACTAATTTGTGCTTAAAAATCAAATTCAAAGACAAAGAAGCATTTTTTTGAGGACATTTGTTGCCCAAATCGCCTTTGCCTATTTGTATGTCGTAGATCTCAAAAAAAATACCTGGATTCAAAAAAATATTCACCTCAAATGGACAACCGAGCACAAATTTATGGTCGTTCAAAGGTTTGCCAATTTTTTATAATTTTCAGACACTCCGGCTGGTGCCCCAACGCGCTCCCTTCTCCTAGCTTTGCCCAGGTCCTCCCTAATGTCACCCAGATCATATAACATCACTAGCGTTGCCTCCTGTTCTAAGGCAGTGCCTAGGCTGCTTGGTGTTGCCCAAGGCAGCCAGGGTCTAGGTTGTCTGGCATCGTCCAGGCCTATCAGCGTCAGTGCCCTGGCTGTCTGGTGTCACCCAGGCCAGCCAACACCAGCGCCTAGGTTACGTGGCATCGCCTAGGTTACGTGGCATCGCCTAGGCTGGCCAGCACCCAGGCTGTCTGTCGTCGACCAAGCCCAAGCCTACTCTAATGTGGTTGAAGATGTCGCCACTCGTAACTTCTTCGCTAGCAATTGTTGCACCTAGCCACCAATCAATGACTTGTGGCATGCTAGTGGTGCCGCCCGTCAAACCAGCGACATCGCCGAAGCCATCTGGGGCATCACCTAACTCGCCAACGTCACCTCCTACACTTCCAGCATTTGAGGCATCGCCGATCAGGCCATGGGTATCACTTTGATTAGTTGTGGCACTAGAGATTGCACCATGGACGCCGCCTTCGATGCCCCTTGTGGCATCACCTCCTTCGCTTCCTCTTGTGACATCGCCAAATGTGTCACTATTAGCCACTCCATAGGTGTTGCCCAGCCTCCCCGCGCTAGCAGAGCTAGCTCCATTACCTCCTAAGGGCTGGTATTCTAGATAAAAAAGGAGTGCTAGTGTAGCGAAGAACCTAACACAGGATTGATGGTTGACAAAGAGGTAGATGCGGTGTCGCCAAATATAGGAAGAAATTTTTTGCATAATACAGAAATGGAAAACTGAAGACTACCATGGGTAACAAGTACCTATCTAGAGGCTCACTCATGCCCTCAACTTCCATCTCTCGCAAGCAATAGGGACTTAGGGCATGGGGGGCAAATGACGAGCCTAATTCCTACTGGGTCTAGCCCAACCAATCAATGGAGCCCAAATCAACTACAAAAAAAGTCAAGCCTAGTTCGTCAATTCGACCTGGCCCAAGGTCCAATGGGTCCAAAAAGATTAGAGTACGTGGGGAGTAATTATCGGGACACTCACTTTCGAAGATCAAGGCTATCTTAATTGTACTACCTTTTGCAGCTCTCCTCCCGAGGAACTAGTGTCTTTACTCTCACGTCACTGCCTCAACAAAGCTTCAATGCCTATAAATTTTAAGTTTTTTCTACATGAGAGGACAAATTAAGCTATATCTCCACACATATCTTTTCTCTCTCCTAGCTATTGTACATCTCCGAGAGCTAACCATTGCTTTCTCTTCTGTTCACTTTACTTCATCAATAAAGACCTCCCAACCACCATTGCCGTTTCTCAGAGCAGAGTAGGTCACCTAAACCAAACTACTATATATCCGTGTGTTGACTCAATATTTACATTACTGCTATTAATTGTCCATTAATTACACCTTATTACACCCTCGACTATAGTTTTGTTTTATTGCTTAGCAAAGATATCTGCATTTTGGTAAGAAGTGATTTTTCATCAATTTAGGTGAGGAGGTGATTGATGTAATTCTTAACCAGTAATCAGTGGGCACGCTTGTGAGTTATGATTCCACTTGTTGGAATTCTTCCTACTCTCTTCTGATCTTATAATCCTTAGCTTTGCGTTCTTTAAAATCTAGATTTAATTTGTCAAACTCTTGTACGTGTACAGGCATTGAAATATACTGTGCACCTACAGTTGACGCCAGGGATGTTTGGCAAGCATCAAGATCCAGTAAAATAAGTGAACTATCTGTCGAATGAGTGATTACCCGCCTCCTCCAGAATGTGTTTTTTGGCATAAAAGATGATCTCACACCGGATTCAGTTGTTTGTGCTGGTGGGAGTTTCATTATCTCACCATCAGGGACTGTACTGGCTGGACCCAATTATGAAGGGGAGACACTCATATCTGCTGATCTAGGTAATTATTGTCTGCTAGTCTTACTCCTTTACATCGTATATAAAATATTTGTTCAGTTTATACTATGTTATGTCTTCAAGTGTCATGTGTTTTTTAATATTTTAACAAAAGAAAACATAGGTTTAGTCCTTTCAGAGAATTATGGTTGCTTTACTCACATGAGCAACTAATGATTTCAGATTTCTCCTCCAGCCATCTTTTTTTAACTTCAGAAGTTTGTTCTCTCTGCATCTTCTTTGCAAGAGAACAGAGTTGTCAGGCATGTCAGATGAGGTTGTTTCAATGTTATCTTATTCTTATTTCAGCCGTGTTGTATAGAATGTTAGATTCATCTTTCTTTTGTACTTTTGGAAGTCTTGGGATTACCAACAGGGAGTAACTTACTGCATCGGAATTGTCCAATTTTCTGCTGTGAAATTTGGGGGTTATGTCCCTACTCCCTTTTTCTTAAGTCTGGAGGTTGAAAATGATTTCTAAAATTATGATTGAAGTTCGTTTTTCTGGGCTGTAACAACTAAATTTATGAGGACCACTTTTAGTCAAAGGATATCGGTAGTCCTTTTATTGGGGTTTCGTTACTTCGTTGAAGGCTAAACTGTGATGTCCTTTTGCATGATTACGAAATCTTATGAAGAAGTCTTCTTTCTTCTCTCTTTAGAGCAGATTGCCTACAAATTCCTTTAAGCATGTGATCATTCTTTGAAATCTTATATTGATGATGATTATGCGTAGATCTTGGAGAAATAGCACGAGCGAAGTTCGATTTTGATGTGGTTGGGCATTATTCGAAACTTGAAGTGCTTAGTCTAGTTGTGAGGGATCATCCAGCCAGCCCAGTGACTTTGAACTGAATTTTAACCATACATCAATATCAACTGCAGCGGGTACACATAGGGATGAATTTTCCATAGTCAGAACTCAACATCATACTCAGAGACATTAAATCACCCAGTTGACTAGACTCCAAGAATGGAGATCACATTATATAAGCTAGTGCTCAACCACATTATTTGCAAGGAACCATACTACTTTTGTGAGATCCCAAATTTTTAGAAGTAGTTTAAGTATAAAATATTATTAGTTTTGATGTAAAAATATAAGGAATATTTAAGTTTTGTGGTTGATATATATAATAAGTGAAATAAATGGGAGCAAAGTATAAATATCTTAGCTTTTATGATTCTTTGGTTTTCACCCATGTGAAGACTTTGAAAAAAAAGAAAAGAGACAAGACAAGGTAAAGAAAAAGAAAGAGAAAGAAAGAGTAAAGAAATGTATAAAATAAAGGGAATCTAGCTAGCATTGATTACGTTGTAGAAAAAGTCTCGGGAAAGATTTGTTTCATCACTTGCCAATTAATTTGGCAGAAGACGTCCCACCTTCATAGCATATAAAGATAGCCAAAAAAAACAAAAGAAAATGGAGGAGGTCTTGAAAGATAAACACAAAGAGAGAGACAAAGAGAAGGAGTTGTCTGACCGAAACAAAGGAGAAAAAATGGGAAGCAGAGAGCTAGCCGAAAGTAAGAAGAATGAAACAGAAAGCTGAGTTGTCAAATTCAAATAATGATTCTAAGGTACCGGGTGGTATGCAATATGCTCTCCTTAAATCTCTTTGCAAAGAGTATTTTCTTGACTATCCTCTAATTTGTATTCTAACTCGTGCTATCGTTATTTTAGAAGTTCGATTGAATATTGTTGACTATTTTGATCTCATTGATTGTGTTCTGCAGATATTGAGACGGGATCATGGTAGTCAATAGTCATTGCATCGCAAGGTAAGAGACCCGTGAGATCGGGTTGAGGTGGAATGATTGGTGTGGTGTCAGATCTCTGCTAAGATTCTGTATGACGTGTGGTATGCAAATATGATATTTGTATCTGTTGATTAAGATACTTTGTCGTACTCGATTATTTGACATTTAATGTCCTTAAACATATTTTTCCTCATCATATTGTATACTTTCCCACTTTATTTAATATTTTCAGGTTGATTTTAGAGAAAAGATCAAAGTGAGATAATCAGAGTATTAAAGGCGAGAAGATGTCGACATAATTGATGTTTTATTGGTATTTGGAGATTTATTTATGATGACAGATTTATTTGTATTGAGAGATATCTTGATAAATGAAATTTTATTGGGACAATTAGCGTTATGTTATCTTTATTTGGGTTTTTTTTATATCAATTAATGTCTCTAAAAAGAAGAAAAAATCGGGGCGTTACAACTTTTGCCAAGGCAACTAAATAGTTCCACAAAGAAGGCAACTCCTACTTATGAGAGTCGTCTGCATTTCCAGATGCTGATGTGAAAGTCATTGGGCTGGCTAGCTGGATGATCCCTCACAACCAAAATAAGCACTTCAAGTCTCGAATACTGCCCAACCACATCAAAAATGAACTTCGCTCATGATATTTCTCCAAGATCTACGTAGCACGAGCGAAGTTTGATTTTTGATGTGGTAGAGCATTATTTGAGACCTGAAGTGATTAGTCTGGTTGTGAGGGATCATCCACCCAGCCCAGTGACTTTCACATCACCATCTGGAAATGCAGACGACTCTCATAAGTAGGAGTTGCCTTCTTTGTGGAAATAGTTAGTTGCCTTGGCAAAAGTAGTATGGTTCCTCACGAATAATGTGGTTAAGCACTAACTTATATAATGTGATCTCCATTCTTGAAGTCCAGCCAATTGGGTGATTTAATGTCTCTGAGTATGATGTTGAGTTCTGGCTATGGAAAATTCGTCTCTGTGTACCTATTGTAGTTGATATTGATGTATGATATGAAACTGCTTTGTTTTTTACAACGAGAGGGAAACTGATCCAGTTTATATGTATCATGGTCTATATTTAAATCAATTCAAGCCTTCTGTTTGCACTGAATGACCAGTTTTAAATTCACCCCTACCCCTCTCTCTCTCTCTCTCTCTCTCTCTCTCTCGGAATTGTAAATGTTGGTAATTGAGCATGGGCTGGGCTGGCCAGGGTTTGGGCGGGCCACACTTGGTACAATTGACTATGCTTAGTCTTAATGAAATTGGGATTTATGCCTTTAAATTTATTAATTGTAGTGTGGTTAACTATAAGCGATCCAGATTTGCTATATGGGGTTAAGTGTAAATGAGGGAAAAATCTGAATTTTGTAGGAAATTATATTATTTGATGTTTGCACATGATAGTTCTGATCATATTGTTGTTGGGTTATACCACATTTATTTTTTTAATAGGAAACAAAACTATTATTAAAATAAAAAAGAGAGTTACAAAAGACATGTCAAAGGTGGACAAGTTGTTCCAACCAAAGACACATAAAAAGAAGCAGGAAAAATAAACTGAAAAACATTTGGAGAAAGAACCCAATCAAAACAAAACGGCCACGCACAAGAGGTTGTCCAACTCGATGTAATGAAAAAAAGAGGGACATTGTTAAACTCCTTAGCTGTAGAGGTCCAAAAGAAGCCATAAAGTATATCCTCTTCCAAGGACTTTCAGTCTCCTCTGACTTGTCCTAAAAAATTATTGTGTTCCTTTCCAACCAAATGACCAAATAATAGCGAAAAAAGTACAGCCCCTCAAAGTTCTCCACCTCCTAGTCATACCCTCTCCACTAACATCAAATCCAATCATAAATAACATAGTTCTCGGTGGTCGTCTTTTAAGCATATCATAAGTGTTAATCTTACTGTGCGTAATTATTCATGTAAGAGACGCGGCTACCTCGAAATCTTCGACCAACGAACCTCTGACCTCCACCGCATCTCCACCACCACTACTTCCTCCTCCT